TTCCACGGACAGGGGGGCCTGGTGGGCTACAGTCCATAGCGTCGCACACAGTCAGAGATGACTGAAGTGACTGGGCGCACTCACACAAATACTCAGGCAAAGCTCTTGTTCATCACATCCTAAGTGAAGTGTGTGTAGATGAGGCAACTGCCTCTGTGGACCATCCCCTGTGTCATCTTCCAGAAGAAGGAGACACCGGAGATGTAGCTAAAGCTACAACACTTTTAAAAATTAATTTTTATTGGAGTATAGTTGATTTACAGTGTTGTGTTAGCCTCTGCTGTATAGCAAAGTGAATCAGTTATATAAATATCCACTCTTTTTAGATTCCTTTCCCATATTAGTCATTACAGAGTATTGCGTAGAGGTTCCTGGGCTGTACAGAAGGTTCTTACGAGCTATAACAGTTTTTTGAAGATGCAGCTGGGAAACACTTGGACACTTCTCTCTCATGAAACAAAAGCCAGAAAACGAGGCGCTTCCTTACCCTGGTGAGACTGTAAACCTCTCCCTCATTGTCCTTCTTTTTCCGCTGCTTCATCCTCACGTCCCCAAGAGTCAGGCACAACCCCCAGGTGCAGAGAAGGACCCACTTTTCCCCCTTCACATCTCCTGGTACAAGACTCAGGGGCACCTGTTATCAAATGAGTAGTCAGTGGTACATAAATGAGCACAATGATGTCGTATATGTGTAAGAGTGACGGGATCAAGCAAGTACAGGGAGGTGGGGGACTAATGAAGTAGTGACCCAACTGAAGTGGATGCAGAACCTCAGAAAGCCAGAATGAGGCTGATTGAAGATCCACTTCTCATAAATCAACCACCTGCCCACGGAGACTCAAGTCTGAGTGAACCATAATATGCAGATTGGTGGGAAAGCCATCCTCCTCCCAAACTGGAGACAGCCTCCGTTTCATGGAGCTAGATAAGACAGAGCAGCTTAAAGAAGAAATAGATCAGCGGAACAGTGGGGGCCATTTGCTTTCTCCTTTGTTCTGCTTTCTCCTGATTCTGTGGTCTCTGCTTCGCTCTGTAGCTTGCTGAGTGATTTAACAGATTTTTCTTTTAAACTTACTTACTGACAAGGAAGCTCCGAACTTCCAATAAACCAGCTGTAGAAAGCCAGCCAGGACTACAGGAGGGAGCCACAAGGGAGTTTGTGAAAGCACAGCTCTCTGGGAAAGCTGCAAAGACTTGTGCATTAGTAATTCTCTTTCCAAATGCTGCCTGCTGCCATCTGGCCAACCCTGACTTACCCCAGAGGGCAATGGGACTTTGGCCAGAGGAGGGAGATGGGGTGCAACCCGAGTGGGAGTCAGGAACAATGGCCTGAGCCTGGGTCATTGTCAGGAGCCCAAATCCATTGTTAGGAGTCGGGCCAGGTCACATCAGGGGAGGCCCACAGTCCTTAGCCCACATTACTGGAAGACACGCTTGTTATTATGCCCATCAGATGCTTAAAAGGAGACTTTGGTCCTGGGCAGAGCCATGACTGGCTAGGAGTGGAGCTGATTCTCCTGTCATACGCACCTCTTCCCATACATGTGTGATCCTTCAAGTGCTATTCTGAGGGAGAGATGATGCCAAGTGATGCCATGGGTATGGGGAAATAGACCTTTTCATGGACTGCTATAGCCGTGTAGATTGGTAACCTTTGCAGGTGTATATGATAAAGCCTTCAAATGAGTATACACTCTATCTGAGCATTTGCATTTCTAGGAACATATTAACAGGAAATAACCAAATAGTGTCCAAAAGTGAAAGTATAAGGATTTGCTCATTGCACTGTTGTTTATAACAGTGTCAGAAGACTGGAGAAGCACAAATCACCCACTGATGGGGTAGGTTAATGAATGAGGGTACAGTCACAACTTGGAGTAGTATACGGCCATTCCAAGTGATGCTATGGGCCCCTGTATGTCACCAGGGACATATATGCACAGTATATTTTTAGGTTTCAAGTGGCAGGTTACAAAAGAATATTGCATTCTATGATTCCTTTTCTTTTTTGGTAAACAAACCTCACATATATGCACAAAAACAGTCTAAAAGGATATATATCAAAATGTTGACAGCAAAGAGAGGTTTCAGGTACTTTTTTTTCCCCTTAGTTGAACTTTCTGAATTTTCTACAGTGAGTATATCCTTGAGCAAATTTTTTTGACAGAAAGGTAAAGGAAACTGCATGTGTGACTGTAGGTAAGCCAAAGATAGTTCTCTTAACAGTCGGTTCTAGGTCGGCTGTTTCTGATTGTCAAGTGCAGCAAACCAGGACTGACTCCACTCTCCAGAAGGATCATCAGGAGACAAAATCTCCTAACACAGCTCCTGCAGCTCCAGTAGAGAATCCAGCTCAACCTGAGAAACCCTTCAGGGTATATTTGGGGTCTCAGGGTCCCCCTACTCTTTCCCCCAGAAAGAGAAAAAGCCCATCAGGGCAGGGACCCTGAAATCACTTGCCCACTGCCTTCAGGGGAAGCCCTTCCTGCCTCTTGACATACCCCCCAGGTAAAGGGTGGGGGCATGTGAGAACAGCAGGTGGTAAAATAGAATAAATTGCATAACCTAAATTTGTCTGATGTTCCACTAGAGAAACTCTTCTGATGAAGCTGACAAGCACTAAAAAAAAAGTTTCTAAATTAAAAAAAAATTCAACATTTTCCCCCCAGTGTCTATCTCTTAACTTTTTCATTCCTCCATCAAGGAGTAAGGAAGGTAGACATCTCTAGGGCATCCTACCTTTTCACTTGTGTTAATTTAGGTAGCATGTGGGATAAAGTCATCAATGAAACAAGTGAATAGTTACCTTCTACATACATCGCACATTCAGGTCTTCTTGGTCTCCTAAGCATATTGCAGTAGATACCTCCTCCCTCTCTGAGGTTCTTCCCTCCCACATCACCACCTTGCCCCAGTTTTATTAAGCTATAACACTACTGGTTTTAGATGTAAGACATAATGATGTAATATATGTATATACTGCAAACTGATCACCACAATAAGTTTAGTTAATATCCATCACCTCACATAGTTACACTTTTTTTTTTCTTGTGATGAGACCTTTTAAAGTCTACTCCCCACAAATAAATGAGATCATATGGTATTTGTGTTTTTCTGTCTCCTCTGTGAGATTCTGATGGATTAAGTAGCAGCCCAAGGATCACTAGCCAAGTGTGAAACAAAATACGGCTTTAAGAGTGTCTGAGGCAATACTGCATACCCCCCAGCCCCCACCAGCTGGGCTCTGACAAAAGCAGAGATAGAGAACATGGTTTAGGTTTCAAGTCCAAGTGGCAACTGCTATTTCTTTTCCCCCAGAACCAAAGGGTACAGTCCTAGGAAAGGTCAATTTGCAGCACATTTGTAGAGAAAAAAAGAGCAAGACAAGATAGTTCACACGCCAGGGCTGCTACTGCCCAAGTGGTAAGCTGACTGGGTGACCCGGACCCCACAGTCATGCTGATGTGAAGCAGGAAGTACCTTTCGTGGACAGTAGTTGTCAGGTTCTAAGAGCCTCCCCGCCGCCTGTGGGGAGAGAACATGTACCATGTACAGTGAGCACAAATGTTCCCCCAACACCCCCTGAGTGGGAAGAGGGCTCAGAGAGGTTCTGTCCTCCTTGCAGACAGAGGCAGAAATATGGAGGCCAGAGAGGAGACATTTCCAGAATCGCCACAGCTGAAAGGATAGAAGGTGCTTTGGAGACGTAACCTCATTCATCCTCACCTTGGGTCCAGACCGTCCCTAATCTCTACTGTACTGAAGTTCCTTCTTCTTGACTTGAAGGGACCTTCCAGAGGTCACCTTCCTGCCTGGAGATCGGCTTAACCTTATTACCCCATCTCCCTAGATGGATCCCTCCGTGCTACAGGAAGCTGAAATCACTTCCTGGAACACTCTCCACCCCCTTGAAGTCTGCCTGAAGGAGACAGTAGTCTTGGTTGCCAATTCTGTCCCTCCTCCTGAAGAGCTAATGAAAGAAAGGACTTCAGAGGAGAGAGGATGGCTGTGGCCAGAGGTTGGGCTGAACTTTTCTTCCCAGGAGACAGCCCTAAATCCCCAAATTAAGTTTCACAAATTACTTGCCCACTCTCCTTTACCCAATGAGGCAACACGGAAGATGAAACAAGGATCTCTGACACCATCTAGTTTCCTCATATTTCGGAATATGGCCTGAGTTATGGAATGACTGGAGATAACTCTGTTCCCTTTAAAGGGAACTGGGTTCTGCCCACAGGCCCTTGGAAGGAACAGGTTTAGACTGCTATGACTTGCCTTGCAGCATCCTTCCCTCCTTCTCGCGTCAGCTGACTGGATCAGGGGCGGCCCCTGAGCAGCTCATTCAAGCTGGTGAGCTCAGCCTATCAGAGTCTCCTTTTCATCTGCAAGAGGTGAGGATTCGGGAGTGGGTATTTGAGGTAAAGGCCAAGTATTGGGGTTGGCCGAAAAGTTTGGGTTTTCCCATACCATCTTACAGAAAAGCGCAAATGAAGTTTTTAGCCAACCCAATAGAATGGGAGTTGGAATTAATGCCAGGACAAATCCAAGCCACATGCAAATTGGAAATGGAGGGGAGTTAGGTGGGTAAGGGAAGCAGAGTAAGATGGTGTGCAAAGAGAATAAAGCAGACTTGGAGAAAGACACTAAGGATAAGAAAAAATGGGGAGGGAGAGAAGGATGGAAACAGGGAAAGACATGTGCAGAGAAATGGAGACACACAGAGGCTCCCAGAGACTTGCTTATCACCAGCTTCAGTTTCCAAGAGGCCTGAATGTCCTTTATTTATTAAGATGTTTCCATATCCTATTAGTGATCGGCCCTTTCTTTAAGTTTCTGTTTCTGCGGCCACTGGCTCTGATCCCAACCCTGACCTCCCTGATGTAGCAGGAGGGGTATTGGGGGACGGCTGGAATCTTCCCCTGGTCCTGTCTCTGGAGTGCAACCAGTGCCTGAGGACAGCGCCAGCTGCAAGGACTAAGTGAAATCACGCGCAGTTACACATGGAAGTCTGGGTAGATGAGCAACTGGCTTCTGAAAAGAGAATTGCCAGAGAACTTGGTATGTGGGCTGAGAAAGGGCAGGAAGGGAGACGGGAACTGGCTGAGTCAAAGAAGGGTTCTAGTTCTGAAAACACTGGGCAGAGGCTCACGGAGTGGGTCCCACATGCAGAACTGGGCTGGGCTGGGCTGGGATCTTGGGCCTTTTCTCTTCAGTCAGGAAAAGAAGACCTCTCAAAAGAAACAGAAAGAACATCTTTGTGTTTTCATAAGTCCCACACAGTTTGTCTTTTTGTAAAGGGATTGCTTTTGCCAAATCATTTCCTGCAAGCTTTGGAGACTCCAACTCCAGAGCCACCAGGGAAGACCCCCTTATCCTGTTCATGGTCAATTCTGATTATACATGCTATGTTCTATAAGGTCACTGTGAGCACTTTATTTACAAATACTGGGCCATTGCTACTAAGGGGTATGCAGGGTTAGGTTCCCGTGAGCCTCTGCTCGCATTGTCATCCATTAGTCAGTACAGACCATGGACTCCTTACTGCCAAATTCAGACTGAAACTGAAGAAAGTAGGGAAAACCACTAGACCATTCAGGTATGACCTAAATCAAATCCCTTACGATTATACAGTGAAGTGGCAAATAGATTCAAGTGATTAGATCTGATAGACAGAGAGCCTGAAGAACTATGGACAGAGAT